TCCTTTTGAGGCAGTTCCATGTGCCAAATTTCACTCCAGACTGTTGTAACTAATATTTTGGCAGCATGGGACAAGAGGAAGAAGTTTCTGGACCATTCTATTCACCGGACTAGCAAAGCCAGGCTTTCCCTTGCATGGGGAGTCACAAGTCCAATGCTGGAGTCAGGATAATTTTTAATCACATTGGTTTGGAAACTTCTTACAACGGATGCCAGCCTGTTGGCCTGGGGAAGAGCTCTGGATACACTCCTGGTACAGGGGACTTGGTCACTAGAGGAAGCTTGTCTCCCTATCAATATTCTGGGGCTCAGAGAGATTAATTTATTCCTTCACCACCTCCTGTCTGCCAGGGCATCTGACCAGAAGTCTCGAAGCAAAAGAATAGTGGATCTATTGGCTTCCAGGTTTAACAATAAACTGAGCAGATTTGTCTAAAGGTCCAGGGATCCTTTAGCCTTTATATTGGATGCTGTGATCACTCTGTGAGATCAGTTGATCTTCATCTATGCTTTTCCACCTTTCAAAATCCTTCCTCCTTTGCGCCACAGGATCAAAATGGAGAGCATTCCATGGATTCTCATCATGCCGAACTGACCCAGGAAGACATCCTAGACCTCCTGGCAGACTCTCAATGGGCTCTCCTAGATCATCTGGATCTTCTGTCTCAAGGACCAGTTTATCACTCTGCTTCTCAATCAGTGGTTTTATTGGCCAGCTGTTGAAGCCCAGGTCCTGAGGGACAGGGGCCAGTCGGATTTGGTTATATCTATGCTCTTGAACGCTGGGAAATTGACTTCTCACAAAGTCTACCATTGCCCACCCCTTAGTTGGACTGCTTTTGGACGTCCCAATGTACATGAATACTTCCTCATGTGTGCTTAAATGCTCAAATTGGAAAAATAGGATTTTTCACTTACCATGAAATCCTTTTCTTAGAGTGCACAGGTCCCTCTCCTCTGGGCTCATGAACAATTCCTACTATTGCTTGCTACAAAAAGGCTGGGAGTGGGAGGGTTATGCTGGGCTGTCCATACATGTTTGTTTCGCCAGTGACCAATCTCCTAAAGGTAGCAGCATAACCCAATGTACCCGAGCACCTCATCCTGTGTCCCTTAATATACTCCAAGAAAAGGATTTTGCAGTAAGACAACAATTCCTATTGTTTGCATGTAGGATGAGCAATATATATTTCAAGTTTTCTTTAGCCATATAACACATACATGATATAGGAACCCTGCATCCTATGTGCATCACAATCACTTTCATCTCATAAAATTTGAGACCTAGTGTGTCCTGATAAAAATGACCTATGACAGAAAAAATGGCGGTAGAGTGCGTATTGAAATTTGTAATAGAGTGTTCATTTAAACATGTAACCCAATTTAAAATCAGGTGTCCATGGCGGAATATCATCAAAGTGCAGCGGTAGAGTTTAGTAGTAATATACTGGGGAAAATGAAAAAGTCATTATTTTCAGACATATCGTATTATAATAGCTGCTTGCTTATTTCCATGTCTGCACACATACAGTACATTAGAAATCTTCAGTGCCAGACTGTAGTGCTAATAGCAGAATGCAAATGTGCCCATTATTGCAATCTTCCCACATTTGCAAACTACCGAACAAGAGACAGTTGTGATTGCTTTTGGAAAACAAGTTGCTGTTGAGAAAAATAAATAGCATCATTAAAGGAGAACTCCACTGCGACCTCTACATACATTGGCATGTATAAACACCAAGCTGTTCTGTTTTCCCATTGCAGTAATATAAAGTCCTCGTCTGGGCACTTAAAAAATGTACCCTCGGAGTGGGGATACCCCTGCAGTCCGCTGGCCTAAGCATTTAGCCGAACGTCATGCAAATATCTGAATATTTATATTGTGAGGTACTGGCTGGTAGGATAGTGGATGGTGTATGTGGGTCACCTAGGTTTCTCACATGCTAGGGGCTGCATAGTTTATAGCTGATATTGATAAAACACACACCGATCAGCCGTAACATTATGACCACTGAAGTGAATACCATTGATTATCTCATTACAATGGCACCTGGAAGTGGCTGAGATATATTAGGCAGCAAGTGAACATTTTGTTCCTGAAATTGATGTGTTGGAAGCAGGAAAAATGGGTAAATGTAAGGATTTAAGAGACTTTGACAAGGACCAAATTTTGATGAGCAGACTACTGGGTCGGAGCAGCTCCAATACTGCAGCTCTTCTGGGATATTTCCGGTGCACAGTGGTCAGGATCTTCCAAAAGTGGTCCAAGAAAGGAAAACCGGTGAACTGGCCACAGGGTCATGGGCGGCCAAGGCTCATTGAGTCACAGAGGAAGCAAAGGTTGGCACATGTAGTCCAATCCAGTAGCAGGGCTACTGTAGCTCAAATGGCTTGGTGCCAGATACCACAGCATACCTTCAGAGGTCTATTGGAGTCCATCCCTCGATGGATCAGGGCTGTTTTGGCAGTAAAAAGGAACCAACTCAATATTAGGTGGGTGGTCAGAATGTTATGGCTGATCTGTGTAAACAGAATGTTAGTCCATGTGATGTTTACAAGTACACTTTGTCCAAATCTGCACATTTAAATATTAATAAAGGTACATAGACAGGATATTGATTCTTTCAGTATTTACGTTCTTCCTTGATCTCTGCTTGCGCACATCAAGAAACAAACAAGTCAACTTTATGATGGAGGATATTAGCAGGCCCGGCGCTACCATATAGGCAGGTCAAGCAACTGCTTGACGACACCAGCGGGGGAGGGGGCGGAAAAATGCGACTGGCCGCAAAATGGCCCCGGCTGCTGTGATCACACCTGTCAGCGCTCCCTCTGTCTCCTGCCAGCCGCTGCAGCTTCAGAGCGGCCAGGAGTAGAGAGTGGGAGCGCTAACAGGTGTGATCAGAGCCGCCTCTCTGAGCAGAGGAGCGGCAGGTATGTTCCCGCCCCCCATCCCCCCCACCTTGCACGCCGAGTCGAGTAGACAGTGAGGGGAGAGCTGTGCTCTTCTCTCAGCTGTCAGAGGAGTTCTAGCACAGTGCTGTGCTAGAACTCCTGTATTGGAGGTGACAGGTTCAATAAAGAACCTGTCACTTCCAAATGCTATGACACATATATTAGTAAATCTTTATTATACCCATCTGGGTATTTGTATGTTATCACAGACACATGGGCAAGGCATTGATCCACATCATATTTGCAATCCCATTTGTTTCCAATTTAGGCATATATAGAATTTCCACTTTAGATGATAAGTCAACTGATGCTTTTATGTCACACAAACATCCCTGATGTAATTTATAATCCAATGCTAATAAAGGTTTTGCGTTGAGCTGTGGACAAAGGTCTCACTTAATCAATTGATATTGCAAAAAAAAATCCTATAGTGTTTGAAATTTCAGAAGTGTATGAAAACAAATCTAGTTATATCTATTTTCGATATAATAGAGAATGGTTAAACCCCCTATCAGGTGGGTTTTTTTGCCACGAGTGTCCCAAAGATTCTCCTTTAATTCCTGCCCTGTAAACACAACAGGAAGTGGTGAGAAATTTCTCCAAAGTGTGTAGAAATCCCTCTCTGTTAGCTATTGCTCAAACAGGTGTCACCAATGGAAGATTTCCCCTCTAGTTCAGTTCTGGTGGCAATTAAAATTTTTGGGTTTTCCCTTACTTTCATTCCAAGTGACAGTGGCCACCGGGAAACCTTGCGAAAGTAGGGCCTCATTCACACAGAATCGGGCCATACAGATTATATCGGCCGTATAGCCATATCGGGCCGTTCTCGGGAGGGACAAGTGCTGTGTGTGATTGCGCGCAGCAGCCTGTTCTTCCCTATGGGAGGACACAGCCGTATGTTGTCAAACGCACACCCGAACTGCACAAACTGCACCCGGACATCTGGGTGTCCATTCTCGGACGCAGAAAGGATCTATTCTGTCTGCGTCTGAGCACAGACACGGATGTGCAGCTCGGGTGTGCGTACGGCTGCGTCCTCCCATAGGGAAGAACAGGCTGCTGCACGCAATGAAACGCAGCACCTGTCCCTCCCAGGAACGGCCCGATACGGCCGTGCATGCCGCACGGATCTGTACGGCTCAATTCTACACTGTGTGAATGAGGCCTAAATCACCCCAGCGGGACACAGGCAGGAATAAAAACCTGATGGGGATTCTAACTCCTCACCAAAACCAAACAACATTTTTCTTTAAAGTGGACCTTTACCTACTTTCACTAAAATACGCCTCAGCACGCAGCTCTGCATGCTGATATGAAATCATCTTACATTAGTTAAATAAACACATTTTTCTTATACTTAAAATTATTGTTTTTGCACTTCCTGGTCCTCTTGGGCATTAGTGATGTAATCTGTGCCCAAGCATTGCATCCTGGGAAGGTTACATCAGCAGAATATTGCTGGGAAATCTCATTTGTATTCTTGCGAGATCTCAGGGAAAGGCATTTTCCTCCTCTGAGATGATGTGCATGGTCACATGTCCTAGTCACATGTGCCAGAGTTCCAGGAAGTAAAGGGAGAGATATTAATCTTCCATTATTAACAATGGCCACTGTGAGAAGAATGGGGAGGAGACGAAAAATAAGATATGCAAAGAATACAAAGCCGGCAATTATCTAGAAGTATGTGTTTGTAGATTGTCATTACTAAACATTTCTAAAGGTGCCTTGGTTGTCATTTCAAAGATATGGCACATGGGGGTCTATTTATAAATCAGTGAAAGTAAATTTCACCAAACGTTCTCTGGTGGTGAATTAATCATTATCATTTAAAACACATTGACCTCCTGCAGAGAATGTTTGTTGAATGTCATATTCACTGCTTTATGACTATGCCCCTTTTCTAGGTGTTTTCTATTACAGCTTTCATATGGAAAGGAAGGTTTTGATTGGTTGCTTTGGCTTGCACTATTTCATTGTATAAAAAGGCCACATTTTATTCCATCTTCAAGTGATTAACTTAATACTGAATCCTGTTTCTCTTTCCAGGTGCCATGGCGGTGTCTATCCCGCGTCTTGATTTGGTGATCTCATTCGTGGGAGCGGTGTGCAGCAGTTCATTGGCGCTAATCCTTCCGCCACTGATTGAAATTCTCACTTTCTACAAAGACAATCTGAGCCCGCTCACAATTATGAAGGATGTTTCCATAGCGATGATTGGATTTGTGGGTTTTATTATGGGGAGCTACGTAACAATTGAGGAAATTATTTATCCAACTCATTTACCATTGGCGAACGTCACAGAGAGTCCTTTACAAGAAATTAACAGCACTTTCCTGGGTTCCCACTGAACCCTGTTGTTCCCATTCCATTCCTGTGCCTTCAACCTCAGAAGAGGACTAAGGATATGTGCACATTGGTGTCTTCTGATTAGATTTTTGTTTTTGTAGAAAGGAAACTGGTGCACTGCGCGCATCTTTTTTCCATTTTTCTTTCCACTCTTAGATTTTCTGTTTGTTTCTTTTTCTGCTTTAAAACTAAAAAATGCTGCAGTATTGATCCTGCTGATTCTGGGGAAAGCAGGTATTTGTATGTATTTTAAGAACCTTTTTTGTCAGTGAGAAAACCAGCAAAAAGAAACAAAAACCAGAAGAAACATTGAGGGTGCTACAGATTGGCAAATTGTTAATGTCTTACTGGTATAATAGGTTTTATTTACCCAAGCAGTTGTAGGAATGTCACTGCTGCAGCCTTAGACTGCATAGAAAGAGCCTTGCTCTGTGTATGGAAGCAGCGGTCTCTTTGCAGAAGTCTGATATGCCCCCATCTTAGTCATAACCACAACTCTGCTATCAGCAAAGCTCAAGACCCCTGCTAATTGCACAATTCTGGCTCAGCAAAGGGTGTGTCAGTCCACTGCAGAGACACCACCGCTTCCACATAGAGAGCGGGGGTCCTTCTCTGCAGCCTAATTCCAGGGCACTGATGTTTCTACAGGTTCTGCATTAAAACTTATTCCAGTAACACTGCACTATTAACATATCTAGATGTTCAAGGTAGCAAATCTTCACTTTTTTGAGTTCAGGTCTTCTTTAAAGGAGCAAAATATGTAATATTTGATATTTTAACTTTGAAATGTTATGCAAAAGTTCAAGAAAGTATGCAGGATTTACTTTACTGAACTGAGTGTGCACTGGACTGTTTACAGAGCCACTGACTAGCTTGCCATGAAACACGTCCCATGCACATTGTGAGACTTCCTTTAAAGGAGAACTATGAGGTGAGTGCTTTTCACTCACCTCATAGTTCTCCTTTAAGGCAAAGGGGAACTATTCCATTTTTTTAAATGCTTGTTGAAGTGAACCTGTGCTTTACCAATGCAGGGCATAGCAATGGTGACACTAAACTCAGGAATGAAATCTTAAAAATCAATTCAAGTACTGTAACTATTATCACAAATGTATCTTATTTGTGTATCACTCGGCTGTAGATCCTCAAATCATCTCTGAATTGGTGCTGACACTGTCCTTCCTTCTGGAGGGTGGCTACTTTTCTTCCCCATGGTCCCTGTGTGCGTTGTAAAGTAGTCACCGCTCCAAGCTCGCTCCCGTGATGGAACACAATCTCAATACAAATTAGTAAACTGACCATGAGATTGTAGTCCATCACAGGAGTGATCTTGGCGCAGTGTCTACTTTACAACACACACAGGGACCATCCCAGATAGCAAGTAATTGAGCTGCAAGTTTGAAAATGACTTGCTAAACTATTGCAGACTTGCCAAGCTTCACAATTTTGTTGCACAATTACAGCAAGTCTGCATGGCAAGTCTCCAGACCAGCGAGCTTGCAGAGCTCTTGCTAAGACCTGCAGGACTCTTGCTGTAGACTTGCCAAGCAAATTTGCTACAAATTCAAAAAGTGTCAACTAGAACTTGTGCTGCGAATGTTCTGCAAGTCTACAACTTGCCAGGAATATGTGCAGCAAGTTAACAAAATTACAATTAGTTAACAAGTATTACAATTTCACCCTGCCACAAGTTTGTAGCAAGTTATCCTTGCTATCTGGGATGAGGAACATAAGTAGCCCACCCTCCAGAAGGAAGGACAGTGTTAGCGCCAATTCCGAGATGATTTGAGGATCTACAGCCGAGTGATACACAAATAAGATACATTATTGTTAATAGTTAAGGTACTTAAATGTATTTATAAGGTTAAACTCCTGAGTTTAGTGTCACTTTAAGACTCCAAGACATAAAGTGTGTGCCAAGGCTGAATATTCACTCCCCCTGTCTCCCCGTAGTTTCTCATGAGCCCCTGTGTGCAGGGGCATAACTAGAAATCACAGGGCCCCATAGCAAAATTTTGTATGGGGCCCTGTGATTTCTAGTTACACCCCTTGAAGAGCCCACATAGTTCACCTGAGGGTGACCCTGCAGAGCCCACCATAGACTCTCTATGGTGGGCTCTGCAGGGTCACCCTCAGGTGGGCTGGT